CTCGCTGTTCATTTTTTGATCAGAAGTTTTCCAAAAACTAATGAGTTCTACTTTAGAAAATCCATAGCAAGAACATTTCTCCGTTGGTCTACGCAATGTCGATCCTTCTAGCTTATTCCATAGAGCAGTAAATAGCTTTTTTATTAAAAATCTGAATATCGGTTTAGTGACTCTAAACTGTATTGAGTTCAGTTTATTTGTCTTTAGTTTCAATTTCGGCAAATTTTTGAATTTCGAATATTAAAGTCTTGAAATGTTTCTAAGTTTTGTTTTAATTATTCAATATTTATTACCATATCTCGGAATGCATTTCGACGAAAAAATGCTTTGCATGATTCACAAGTGATTTGATCAAAATTATAACCTTGAGCTGGAGCACCACAAACACGACATTCTAGATTTGATCGTTGAGATTTTTTTGTTGAATTATTTTCTGATAATGTTTGTTGTTGATCTTGATCAATCTAATAAAAAAAATAAAAAAAAATAATAATAGCTAATTTTATATAAAAATACTTAATATAAATTAAAATCATTTACTTCAGGCGATAAAGATGTTATTTCTTTGATTAGATTATTATGTAACATAGAAAATTGATTATATTCATTTTTAAGATTAAAATCATCGGATAACAAAAATAAATCATCAAAATCAAATGACGACATATTATTCCAATATTGATTATTCGATATCATCGACTGTTATTTTCAATATCTATAATATTTATATAATTCTTAAGAAAATTTATTATACTATATCATTGTGTATTTTTAAATCTTTCTATATTGTTGCATTTCTTATGTAAACATCATTTTTTTTTTTTGCACATCGTACAATTTTATTCAAAGAACGAAAAAAAAATAGATGTTTTTTTATGTTATTTAATTTCATTCGGAACTGTTTGTTTTTTTTTGAAATAAAAAAAAAAACACCTTTGATGCAATTCTATTTCCAAAAAACAAAAAATACAAATTGAAATGTTCGAACTTACAAATAAATCAACATAGACTTTATTTTACTTGTTTATATCGTCATATGACTATTACACAGAAAACGACATTAGTCGTAGTCTTAGCTTTGATCAATTAAAGGATTTTAATAGAATTATATACCAAAAAAAAACAAAATATGCACTTTTTTTTTCTCTTGTGTTCTGCAATTCGCATGAGTTATTTTTTACTCGAGAAAAAAAAAATATAAATGTGTTTTGTTCTTTTATGATATAAACGTAAATCGATGAATCATCCAAGAAGAAAAAAAAAAAATCAAAAAACAAAACAAGGCATAAAAAGTATGAGAACATGATTACAAACATCATCATAGAAAAATGTAATATACAATAAATTAGAAGGATTGGATATTTTGATTGGTATTCAACCTGGCGTAAGAATATGATTAGTCATCGAAACGTAAAACGACGGCTTATGTTAATAGTACATAAAGAGGCAAAAAAACTATGATAGAATTCGGTCAAATTTAGTATCGTATGACACATTGTGTAAAGTATTAGATACAATTCACAATAGCTGACTCATGATGATTACATGCAAAAAAAAAAAACATTGATACAGACAGAAAACAAATTAGCAATTAACTTTATAATTTGCAATACAGGTATTACATTTCTCAGATAATAAGAGCTAATAATATAGAGACTTTGGCATAAAATATTGATTTTCGAAAAGTAAAAATGTTGAAGATTTAATTCATTCAAATTACAAAAACTTTTCATCTTAATTAGTCTTACTAACATCTATGCTTATAGAAAAAAGTTTGCTCATGATATTTGATATATTCATTAAATAACAACTTGTATCCATATCCTCTTAGCGCATTCTTATTATAATAGTTCCCTAAGTAATACACAAAAAGTACGGTCAAAAGTTCTTCAGTACTTGAAAAGAATTTCTTGTGAGTTTCATTTCTATAAACAATGAAATATATTTTATAGTATACTATATGATTATATCATAGAAATATGACTACTTGGATTTATCACTCATGTATCATGTCTTGAATGAGTGCGGGTATTTCGTCAGACAAAAAAAAATTAGTAAACGAAATCGATGGTTGTGAAAAATAGTTTCAAAAGTTTTCTATACTATCATCGTTTTAAAAAAATGGTTAAGTCTGCAAAGCGTTTATTTTTGGGATAATTTTCTATAGGAAAATGGAACGTCCCATTGCAGTTTGGTAAAAAAAACAAATGATATGAATTCGATCATGAAATTTCATCTATACATTTCGGTTAGTATTTTCTGACATTTTGTTTTCTGGATTACTGAGATCGAAAATTATAGGTTTGGATGTATACATCTAAAAAGTAGAAGAAAAATGAAAACTCGAAGTTACACAAAAAATGATAAACGAGGTCTTCTAGAATCGATTTTGTCTTATCAAAGACTTTCATTATTACAAATGCTCGTAACAGCTAATGGCCTAGCTTACTATTTTTAATTATTACGGATATAAGATGAAGGTTAAAATCACTGTATTGTTAAACTTACTGAAGATGAACGAAAACTCATATTGAAGATTCAAGATGTTTGCATCATATGAAGATATTAATCTCTTTCATAAAGTCTGAACAGCGACTTCTCGTTCTCTACACCATCGCGATACAAGTTACAGGTTTTGTTAAAGTCCAAACATTCTCGCATTCAAAATTGACGAAGAATAATGTGCACTAGCATCAGTGTTTATCGAAGCATTGGAACGCGACACTGTGAAAAGAACATACTTTGATAGAGTTGCTATCTCAATGTTGTAATAAGCACCACTGTCAGTATTCCAGTGGATCATATTTCGGTGTCTCACTTTTCAGTGTCTAAACACAAACACCGTATACTCTTAGATAATATCGAGCTTGTAGTAAATTAATATTATAAGGCGAGAAGGCTATCTAATATCAAGAGAGAAAGTTCTGATCATATCTCTTTCAATCCCACAGAGGAAGATAAAGATCTAAAAGTAGCTACAAAACGAAATAAGTTTTTTTTCCGAACATCCTCATATGCTTTTATTCATGTTTTTTATTAAAATTTTTCAATTATTATTTAAAAAAAAAAAATTAACAAACAGCAAACTTTTAAAATTCATTTACAATATTTATATAATGAAAAAAAAAACAATAACAACAAAATCTATCACTATATCATTATACAACTGATTATCAAGATATATATCTGTGTGTTTTTGTTTAATTTCGAGATAATTATATTCTTCAATAAGTGAAATTTCATCTTAATAAAACAACATTCATATAACGAAGAAATATTGATATCGATGTATCTCTAAAGTCCAAGTACAGACTGCATTAATGGATGATATTGAGAACAATATGGACTTTGACATACAGAATTTCTCATTGTTACCATTAATAATTGAAATCGTAGAATTTGCATAACTATTATTTCCATCACTTTTATTGCTTCTTTTTCATCGAATAAATAATTTAAATAACGCCACAAAATATTCGTATAATAATTTTGATATTCAAATAATATTTTCGTATTTTTATATTCATAGAATTGTGTAATATCAAACCATGAAGATAAATTAACACTAAAAATAAGTACAACTAGTGCAAGTTTTAATACTAATGGATAATTTATAAAACGATAGAAATATTGACGTGTTCGTACTATTTGATAATCAAAATCTTTATTGATCCATTTAGATAGACATTTATCAAGATTTGGACAATCTTGAAAGTTATATATTATTATATGATGTAAATGTATGATTGTAAGTAAATTAGATTTTATTAACAGAACTTGATCATTTTTGTCTAATTGTTTAAATTCAGGTATACATTTAAAAAAATTGATTAATGATTCGTACATCATAGTTTCATCGTTAATAAACTGTGAAAAAGGTGTTGATGATGTATATTTATCAATATAAGAATAATCATTTTTATCTACTACTAATTGATAAGCATTATTTATATTATTCAATAATATTTGATCCTCATCATTTAGAATATCATTCGAACTACAACAATGCATTTTGGTCACCTAGAAAGGAAGAATAAAGACTATTATTATTATTATTCAATTATTTTTATTTACTGAATTAACAACAGTTTGTTCATTTCTTGATGATATCAATGAACGTTTTCTCTTTCTCAAAGCTGTTGAAAGAGTACGAAGTGGTTGTTTATTTGATAGAATTTGTTTCAATTGTCTATTTGCTAATATTAGTAAATGTCTTGATTTTTTTTCTTCATCACTAAGAATCAATTCTTTACGCATTTCAACGTCAAAACACTTTTGTAATCGACAATATGCACAATGACGACGTGTATGAATATTAATAACACAAGAACCCGAAGATTGACATCGTAGTTCAGACTAAAAAGAAAAATTATCGTTGAGTTGATATTTGCTTGTAATTCAAAAATTTTCGAATTAATATCCTCTATAAAATTTGCACGAAAATGACTTTTGTTAACTATATAGTGAATTATGTATAAATTAATAACTCTACAATCGACTACATTGATATGTGGGAATTACTATATATATATGTCCGAGGTAAAATTGATATTATATTAGGCGCATAATTTTAGCTGTATTTTTTTTTTGTAATTTAGAAATGATTTTCTAATTATCATTTGCATTCAGAAATTTCGGCAGATTACTTGATTATTTCATTAATGAACATATCAATAATCTTTGTGCAGATATAACAGATACAATACATGTTGAAGGTTAAACTAACAGACAACAAAATTTTATGCATAAAAGAAATTATTTGACAAACTATAAATTATTTATTTAAAAGTTCATTAAAACTGTCAGAATTCCAAAAAGATAAGTCTTACATAGCTTCAAAATATATAATAATTTTCAATACAGCTATGTCAATAAATAGGATAATTCAATATTCGAAGAATTTAATACTTCTATAATTCAAGCATTAGAAATCGAGTATTCAAAACTTGGTGAACTTTTTTTTTTTAGTCATTGAATTCCTATTACCTTATTTCGGAA